ACTTAGTGGCCGCGTCTTCATACTGCACGAGAACGAGGCTTATTATGCAAAAACAAAACAATTTCTATATTTTTACATAGCGAAAAGTGAATTTTAGGGTTTTTAAAGTGTTTTTTCTTGAATCTCTTTGATCTTTTCTTAATATTTCGTGCTAGGTTATATAAATATTTGCTAAATTTATCTAAACATCGATTTCCCACAGCCTAGTCCCAGTCGTTCTGAAGCAAGAGCGAGAAAAAAGTGGATGTAGTACGAGACTGGGACCTAGGTGTGACGTCACCGCTAAAGGTGCTTCAGAACGCCTAGCAGATTTCAGTATTTTTAATATGGCGGGAAAGTTATATATACAAATAACTTTGTAAATATGACAAATGTCGACAATGTGATCATGTTCCATGTCTACATAACCAAATCAAACTGTATTTAAAATGTGCTCAATTAAAAAGATTTATATACAAATTTACGATACTGAGTCTGTGCAATGGTCGTATAATCGTTGATGTTATTTATATACTCGCAAGTTGTGATCAACACTAGATCGACCATACAGGTATACACAACTACGCTTTCTACTTGACAGGTTTAAGTAGCTGAGGAGATTGGAAATATTTGCCTGACATGACTGTGTTGTCGAAACATTTTTAGTCGAAGATTCGGCATAATTTTCAAGCTTCTAGATAGCAGTTAATATGGCTTTATATTTTAGCATATTTTAGTAAATACGAGTCATACTTAGCCCGTTATTCCATTCTGACCGTATGGTAGCGGAACGTAGCTTATTTAATTGTTTCGAGAGCGTTAGAGCAAGACTAATGACTTAATTATAAACGCAAAGGAATTTCAAATTTCCATAACATTTTCTATTTACAAATGCGGTATGCTTGGTAACCAGGCCAGGGACCACTTTTTTGAAATCAGGGACCATTTTACCGAAATCTGCTAGGCTCTCTCGCTGAAGCGTTGCGCACAGCACACCCAGGCATAAAACTTTTAAGACTTATTTAAATATATCAAAGCAGCGTATAGAGAGAGTCTGGGACTAGGCTGGATTTCTCACTATATTTTTACCCGCTTTGGAGAGATATTTCGTTGTTGTTTTAGCATGCGATGGGACGAACATATGGAAAAGATCAATCTAGACTTTAAAATCTGATTAAGATGCAAGTAAAATAGCCAGTATAACTTAAGAAACTAAAATATAACTCTTTCTACCCAGATTTTTCTAGACTTCGTGCGAGGAAAAACGATTTTGTCAAAGAATAATAACATAAAATTTCTACAAATTTTGCCCGACATTTACTTTCATATTTTTAAAGTTAAAATCGAAAACTTGCTATTATATTACAAAAATATTACTTTATATGAAAATCTTTATATAGTTTGCATAACAATGGTCTTTTGTTAAAGTTTTCTTTAGCTGGTATAAAGACGTATGCACGTGACTAATTTCTTACTCAAGATTGGATAATTGCTTCATGAATTATTAATGAGTTTTTGAAATGCTCTTAAAAAAGTCATTAATAATTCAGGAGGAAAACACAAAGAAAAATCATAAGCGTGTCGTGGTTTTATATATGATAAAAAATCATGTTAATTTACATAAACTTTAGCTTTGATTTTCTCGGTTTAGACAAAGTTTATTTTAAAAATTACTTCGCCAATGAACTTGTATAAGATGAGTCGCTTTTTAAGTACTATTTAAAGCACGCGTAGGAGTGTTTTATCACATATAAAACACCCCGCTACACGTCGTGTTTTATATGTGATAAAACACTCCTACGCGTGCTTTAAATAGTACATTAAAGATGGCGGAACGCATAATGATTTTGTTTGAAATGAAATGTCATATCTTTTAAACCAAAAGCGATAGAGAAAATCTGTAAAAAGGTTTTGAAATATAAAGAATTTATTATTTCGATCTTCCAAATGGGCGAAACTTAATTTTTATTGCTATTTCCTAGAACAACTTTTGAACTTGATTGAGAGTTTGTCATGAAATGTATTGGAAGCTGCACTCTGCCTCTTTCGATCCGGCTCGAGGTGTATTTTTCCGCTATTGTGAGTCAGTGATTTATTTAGAAAATGTGACAGAAAATAAGAAATGATGAGCATTTATAGACTTTAAACCGTTTACTTTGTGAAGATATTTCTACTATACAGACAGAGAGCTACTTAAAGCGAATTATAAACAACACAGCGAATTAAAAGTCAACACAAAGGTGACACACCTGCTGCTCAGGGTTATTCTTTTACGTCTTCGGCTGAAACTGGGTTAAATTTGGTCAAAACATGACTGGAAAATTAGATTTAGAAAAAGTGGGCTGGAAATGGGATCTTGCCCCCTTTCTGGAACCCCTTGAAATTATTGGTTTCTTTACTGCGAGTCACAATTTAGAAGTATACGTGTTGATATTGCGGAAGAGTTAATTAAAATCTTTCGGAAATGAAACAAACTGCATGGTTGCTAGAGCAACTATGTCAACTTAAATTATATGTTACGTTAAAAAAAACGACATTTCACTTTCCTGAAGGCGAATGAATGCAAAATTTACGACGATTTACACGATATAGATGTTACAACAGTGCAACTTCAAAAAAATTATTAAAATTTCGAGATAATAATTTGCGATATATATATATATATATATATATATATATATATATATATATATATATATATATATATATATATATATATATGTATACACACCGAAAAATATGTGTCACTCACGCAATATATTTCACATGCATGTAATATCATTTTAGTTAATTTACTCTATTCTGATTGGTTAAAGATTAGTTAAATTAATCGGGACGATTATTGTTTAGTTTTGAAGCATCCGAGTGCTCACCACAATGCATATGGGAGGGCAGAAAATTTGGCAGAAGATTTAAACAAATAACCTTAAAAGGTATCTTTCCTTAGCTCTTATTTATCTTCAAGAAGACAAAGATGAAATAAAAATTATTGACAGCTAGTTTTACTAGTAAATTCAGAAACTACTCTTAATTAAAAATTGTTCACAAAGGCGAATATTATCAGTACTGTTGTGCTCGCTGCCATGAATGCATTAATACAATGTTTCTTAACATTGAGTACTGGCGTATACAATTGACTAAAATGATATTATTAGGAAATTACACTAATCAATTGCAACTGCAATTTATCGCAGGCCTCGATTTATATAGCATTGTAAAATATATTTCAATAAAAATTATGAAGCATAAATGACTCAATCCAAAAGCCCGACACAAAAATCTAACTGTAGAAATATTTTAGATTTGTGACACCATAACAAGCCTCGCCATGGCGCTAAAATTGAATTACGTCACTTCCATTTTCCGCGTTTCTATTAACCTCATACTGCGTTACGTTGGAGCCCAGAAAATCAATGGCTTTTAATGGACTATGCGGATTCTGAATTTTATGCCATATAAAATGCAAAAACAATTACACCCCTAGAGAACAAACCCAAGCCATGCGATTCATTGCACACCAACCCTTTCCTTCCTGCGATGGTCTGAATGATGAAATTAAATAATATTTTTATAGTACATTAACTGCTACAATGGACATTGTAAGGTAGGGTTAGGGTTTACGTCACGTAATTTTCAAAACATTAATTATTCACCCATTATAGATATCTCACAATGCATGCGTGCACTGCGCTTTCCTGAAATCCTATGTATTAAAAATTGCGTGACGTAAGCACTTCTAAGCAACCTCGTTCCCAGGGCCTTTGTGCTGAGAAGGCCTTGGCATTGGCTAGAATTTTACACCCCAAATTTTGGTGTGTAAATAAATTAAGACCACTTAATTTCAATGCGCGAAATTGATTTGTTCTTCAAAATTTCCCATATTTGCTGCTCCAAGACCAGGTAAATTTATATATTTTTAATCCTCGAGAAATAAGCTATCGGAAAATGTTTGAATCAAGTTTATACGATCAGAAATGTAGAAGGAGTCAATTTGGCAGCCGCTTGACTAAAATTTAATTGTTTACAACATGACAACAAGAATACAAATCTTATGTAAGCTCATATCCATTTGTTGTTGTTGAGACTTTGTTTACTTAACTTTCGAAAGAAAATCTGCTAAGGATTTCAAAAATATATGTGTCTCGTGTTAACATAGAAAATATCTTTTTAAATGAAGAAAAGTGAATGGTCTTCGAACTGTAGTCTCGCGTCAGTCGAGATGTATTAAATATTTAGTTTAGACTGCAAGCATCCTATTTCCATACATGTCCAATACTAATACAAATGTCCATTGGACATATGACTGTCCATTGTATCCAATGGACAACTCAAATGTCCATTGGACACGTGCATGTCCAATGGACATATCGAATGTCTATTGAATATTTGAGTGTCAATTGGATCCAATGGACTAAACCGGACTTCGTAACCACCGGGAATGGGCATCGTGGATATATTGAATGAGTATAATGTCCAATGGTCCATTGGATGCAATGGACATTTGAAATGCCCATTGGACATTTGCCGACCAAGGAATACATACATGTCCATCAATTGAATATATAGCTACTTGTCAATGCTTCCTTGTATTATATTAAAACTGACTGTTATTATGCGTGTTTTCACATATGAATGCTTATATCATATCTGTTTCGTATAAATTGAATATGTTGTTGCTTCGTTCTCCGCAAGAAACACGCAATAGATCACGTTAATATGTTGTTGATTCGTTCTTAAGAAACGACGCCATATATGGCAATATATTATCCAATGGACAGCTGGAATGTCCATTGGACATTTACCTGTCAAATGTATCCCCCAATGGACCATTAGACATATTCCCTTTGCCATCTCACAGGCCAACTACCTGCATGGGGTTGATGCCAACCTATGACGTCATTCGAGTTAATTTATTTACTATTCCATTGGATCCTATGGACAACTCGAATGTCCACTGGACATATCTATGTCCATTGGATCCAATGGACAACTGAAATGTGCATGGGACATATGCCTTTCCAATGGATCCATTGGATCCAATGGACCATTGGACATACTTCCTTTGCCATCTCACAGGCCTGCTACCTGCATGTGGTCCATGCCAACTTATGACGTCATTCGAGTTATTTGCTGCACAACCAAATGTCCACTGGACATATGCCTGTCCATTGGATCCAATGGACAAAATCAAATGTCCACTGGACATATCTATGTCCATTGGATCCAATAGACAGCTGAAATGTCTATTGGACATATGTCTGTCCAATGGATCTATTGAATCCAATGGACCATTGGACAGAAAAGGCACTCACTGGCTCTCAGGTATATTGGGTGTGACAGTAAAATTTGGGCTGTATTTCAGCCTACGCGCATTCATAAACAAAACATGCACTACATAGACGTTAACAAACACAGTTATTCTGGTTTTATGTAATCATGACTGGAGCGTTATTTTGTCAACGCCTGGAACCTGTGACATTCACTCACCTGACTTCGCTCATCGACTTCGGACAAGATCGAATTCGGCGCCCCCCTCCCCCCCAATAATAGAGGCAACACGTACTAAGAAAACTTAAAATAAACTCCACTTCTTAACTTGGCCCCATATTCAATTTGGCGGTAACGCGCGGAGCATTAATTGGAGGGGGTTCAAAGATGCGTCTGACTATCAATTAGGTATTCAGGGACGTAGCGACCGTCGGGTGGGGTGGGGAGGGGAGGAAGAAGGTGTGTGAAGGGGCCGAGGTTGTAAACCTGTGAAACTCAGGTAAATATCAGGTAAAATTTAAGTTTCCATTTTGACATTTTCAAGCATAATGTTAGTCATGGCAACACGATAATTGTTAACGTTTTTACTTTTTTGTACAAACCTGCAAAAAATAGACGAAACTTGAACAATTTTAAATATAGAACTATCAATTTCTAAAATATATAAAGCAGGTATATTATTCTGGTTTCTATGGACTTTATTTTAATGTAAAATTCAAAACGAATCTCTGCACAAAACGTTTTTAAATGTGAATTGAATTCAATCGCTTTTTGCCGATAAACTCTTCAACTCGAGCTTCAACTTATTACTCGCAGTTTGAAATGAAATAAATTTAATTGGTACAGGACACTAGTGAAAATAATTTGCTTTCCTTTTTATCAACTTCTACAAAAGTTAATTTAACTGAGAAACTTTCGCATACAATGCATAGGAAAGATTTGAACAACAAGAACAAATTGTATATAGTAATTAGTATATTTATTTAATACAAAGGCATACATAAACAATTGAACAAACTTGCCCTATGCTTCCGAATTTCTCATACTAAATCAATTCTTATTAAAAATATTGAAAAACGTTTTAAAATTTGTTATGTGAAACGATTTTCCAAGCTTTCTTGCATGTATTTTTATATTTTGCCTTCTTCACTCCTGGCAAACAAACAGCCATATTTTTGAGAACAGTGATGACCCACGGTAACCCACGCCCGCGATCAATATTGATGAACTTTCGAATTCGCTAATGCTTTCGTTTCCCCGGGTGTAAATAGCCGGGCGGAATTAATACCTCGCCCCGGGCTTACGCCCAGAAAGGCGCTTTGCGCCGTTGGCTCGGGGATTACTAGTTACTTAGGGGCCGATTACATGGAGCATTTTCAACCCCGGGGTTGAACTCAGCCCTGTTTACCGGGTTGAAATTTCAGCCCTGTCTGTAATACAAAACTCTATCAAAATTAAACGCGCGATTACATGACAAAATTTTTAACCCAGGGCTGAGTTCAACCCCGGGGTTGAAATTTCAACCATGCTTCAGCTGGCAGCTTTCAACCCAGGGCTGAAATTATCATGAGTTATTCGAACATGCGTGGTGGTGACTATTTATTACAAGAAAACAAAATAAAGACTTTTTACTTCCGCGAATCGATGCCGAGAACGTACAGTATAACGTTTTAACCCCGGGGTTGAAATCGTCCATGTAATCGCAAAAAATTTCAACCCGGTTAACAGGGCTGAGTTCAACCCCGCGGTTGAAAATGCTCCATGTAATCGGCCCCTAAGACTATGTAAATTGTATATTTCCTTCTAAAAGTCCTTCTTTTAATTTCGATTTAAAATCGTTGATATCAACATTAGATTTTAATTCGCCATTAGATTTTAATTCCATGCGTTCCAGATTTTGGTTCCTCTGTATTTGAATGTTCTTATGCCGGTCGTCGTCCGATTCTTTGAAATGTCAAGATCATTTTGGCTTCGTGTAGCGCGATCATGGATATTTGATTTCTTTTTAAGAATTTGTGACCTAATTGCGAGGGTGCTTGATTATATATCCATTTGTAGGTGAGGACAACGTCTCAATTGTAGATGCTCTTTCATTGGTAACCAATCGAGTTCCTTTAATAAAGGAGATAGGCCTACATGGCATCATGTATGTCATGGAGGCAACTTGAAACAAGCCGCTAATAAAGAGAATAATGAACTCCAGTTGCATGCTTTCATTATATGCATATTGGGCTGAGTCCATACGTGTGAGAGGTCTATTGCGATTGTGCTGACTATAAGTGCATCTTACACTGAAGTAGACCACCGACAGGCTTAATCAACACAATCGACATACAAAAAAAGAACACAAAAGTTAGCAAATATTAAAAAGCAAATATTAAAAAAAAATTTAATGGTGACATTTAACTGCTATTTGGAACACACTGAATCAATATTTAAAGAGTTGGACTGATATTAGATATTTATAAATTGAATAATTATTTCACTATAGGCCTACTACTCTATTTAAGTTTCAATCGATATTATCAAATGAAGAATTTACCGAAGATATTTGTAGATTACTTCATACATAACAATGAAATGCATCAGCATAACACAAAAAATGCATCTACGCTTCACAAAACTTATAAAAGAACAAATTATGTAATGCACACTCTCTCGTCAGGAGTTGCTATTTGGAATAATCTAGTATCTAAATACAAAGATATTAATTTCTAAAGCACTTTCAAAAGAAAAGTAAAAAGACAGTATATATTCAATTCAATAAATTATTGAATATTGTTAAAATAGATCAACGTGTAATATACAGCATCTAATCTAATTCAATCGAATAAAACACAAAAAAGCCAATGTTGCTTGGAGCACATTGCGTTTAATGCTGCTTGCACATTCGAATACAACACGTTACATTAATTCAATACTGCGATTGACTACATTCAACTATAATAATTCACAAAATAAAGTTTGCTCAATATGAACTTGAGGTAAAAACCCACCATGGGCCTGCAAGGATAAATCTGTTAAATGTGAACAACCGGGATCTGAAGCACCTCCGCTTCTTAGACTATGAGTTCCCAATTTCCTGAGATCGTCAAAAAATATACCCAAGTTTTTCTTGATTATGTCTTTCGCCGTAGTATAAGATATTCCACGGGACTCATGAAAGCTCCGGCCACCTTTACCGTACTTAATTCTACGTACAACTGGATTACAAGAATCAGAATTGTCAGGTAACATTTGGAACAGTCGCTCGGTAATAGCCACCGGACAAGTGGATTTGCCCGATCTGGCTATATGAATCGTATTTCCCGATCGAAACTGGTCGTTCTTACGTCTTGGGACAAATATAGACATACCATGCGAAACAATTTCTATATGCTTTAATTGAATGGCCAGTATTTCACTTATACGTAAGAACCCACTGTAGCCAACTAGAACAATAAAGAGGCGACGAAGATCGGCTGGAGATGCGGTGCTGTGGCCATGCATGTCCACCAACTGTCGCAACATGTTGGGTTGAATAGCCGCTCTTTCGGTTGTCTCGGTTTTGCAAGAATTCTTTTACAACCTTCATAAGTTGATTTGACAATTGGATGATCGGTCGGAGATGGGAAATCAGCCATGGAATGTCCCCCATCGAATACTATAAATAGCGGTATCGATTGGAGAAGAAGTCTGAGCAGGTTCTAACAAATCACGTAGATACAACGCAACATACATGGGTTGAGCTGGAAGATAAGCGACACCAAGCTTGGACTTAGACTACGTCTTCCAGCGATTCCAAGCATAAGCATAATGTAACGTAGTAGTCTGAGCTTTGGCACTCAACACGACTTTGGGAAGTGACGACGCCAAACGCAACAGTGAAGGATCCTGAATCTGAAGACAATCTTTCCACACACCAACTCAAAATTCGTTTAAATCAACATCGATAAATAGTATATAAATAGCAAAACTGTAAAACGCGTGCAGCTCAAAAAAGGCATATTACGCCAGGCAATGACTAGACAAAACCACAAGGTCAACTACACACTCTTTATTCTTAGCTCGAAAGAGCACAAAATAATGAAATAGGCCAATAATTGGCATCGGCGCTAAAAGCCACGAACTGCTAACATGCAATTCGCAAAGCTAACAAGTCAAAGCTTGGTGTACCCATGAAAACCGATGGCTTGCTCTGATATGCAATTAACTGCCCTTTACCTGGAATACACATCTGTGGACACTTAGGTAAAACTAATGTTTCTTTATACAAATAATGAATGTTTATGAGTGCAATGGTAAGAATATTTTCATGAGGTGAAAGATGGAATGTTCCATTCAACGAGGCGACAGCCGAGTTGAATGGAACATTCCATCTTTCACCGAATGAAAATATTCTTACCATTGCACGAAGAAACATTCATTATTTGTTTTATATAATACCAAAATAGACTAATAGATTCGTATAAGAAGCATTTTGAGGGATGCGATTTATCGAAAACACAAAGAGTGCGATTGTACTATACGTTTTATTCCATTTCACTCGCGAAGAGTGCAATGGAACGTGCTCCATTGCACCCTTGGGAAATGGAATTTTCTATTCAATATCACGTGACCATAAACAGCCAATTAAACGATTAGAATTTAATAAGGTATTATATAATAATAAATGAAGCATACCGCCCTGGCCCGCGGGGCATAAACATATGCCAAAAAATGGCCGAAGGCCAATATGGCACAATAAGCGTGCCTTTACCCTTGCAGCTGCACATATGCCGAATCGTAGGTATAACTAAAGACTCTGGCGGGCACAACCAATTTGTGTCGTTTGACCAATTTTGAGTAAAACAATCAACCGCCTCAGCGTCTGGACACCAAAAACGCGAATTGAATCGCGGAAATTGCTTATTATGACTAGAGGCAAACCGATCGATGTTGAAAGGACCCCATTTGGCATGTAATAAGTTGAATAACTGTGGTTGTAACTGCCAATCATCTAAATCAGTTGCTTTGCTTAATGCATCGACAATCTGATCTTGTGTTCGAGGTATCCATTGCGATTCAATCTGTATGTCATTGAAAAAACAAAAGTTGAAAAATTCAACTGCAATGTGTTGAAGTTCGGGTACTCTACTACCAACTAGAACGATGCGACATGCACTTTGACTGTCTGAAAATACTTTTATCCTCTTATGCTCTAATGCTTGAGGAATACTTTTAACACCTGCAATATAGCTATCAATTCTCGGAATGTTGAACTTTTGACTTTTTGTTGCAAAGTCCAATGGCCCTGAGCTTTAAATTCATGCAATGAGGCCAAATAACCGCCGTAACCAAAGCTACTAGCATCTGTATAAATATAGAGTGGTTCGGTCGACACCTTGGGCGTCATGGAGTACCCATTAAGACAGCCAAGATTAGTTAACCAAAATCTTAATTCTTCAACTAGGAGAGGCGGAATATCAGTAATGTAATCAGACCAGGAGCCTCGCTGAGAAATCGTATTAAAAAGCTGCCGAGTGAAAAGCCTTACCGAAGGCCCCACAGCTAAATAAAGAGAATTAATAAAACCAGCAATTTTAGCAAGTTCTCTATATGAAATACACTTTGAGGACAAAACAAACTCAATATTTTTCTTAGCTTTCTCTATCTTGCGAGGCGGAATTTCAAAATGGAAATTAATGGTATTAATGATAAGGCCAAGCCATTCCCCAACCTGCATTGGTTCCCAATGACACTTCTCATCATTAGCAACCAAACCGGATAAAGTTAGATCGTTCTTGTGAATTATACTAGCAGCGACAGCATCTAAGCGCTGTTTATGCCCCGAGATCCCATCGTTCAGATAAACAAAGGCGGCATGAGACATTCCGCGCCATCTCTTTATTAATGGACGCAATAGTTTAGTGAAACAATAACATGCCGAAGCAAGGCCAAACGGCAACACAGAAAAGGTGAAATATCGCTCTGGGCCATTAAAAAACCATGAAAACCCTAAAAATTTTCTATGCGGTGCATAAATGTCGACATGGTGGTAACCAGATTTTAAATCCCACTTAAAAAACCAAAATTTTTCTTCAAACAACTGAGCTAGGGATCTGAGATCCTCGTAGCGAAAAGTCTGTTCGGACAGATGTTTATTAACATTCCGCAGATCTAAAACTAATCTTAGCTTTTTTTCTTTAACAACCGACAATGGGCTTATGCAGTATGGCGGCTCTACATGCTCGGCGATGTATCCACCCTCCAATAACTTAAAAATCGCCTCTGATACAAAACCGAGATGATCTCTAGCAGATTTGTTGTTATTTAAAAAACAACGGTCGGGAATTGACTGAAATGGAATTTTATAACCCTCATCGACTATGTCTTGAACGAATTGCGAAGCGTTGAGTGTATGTTTCCAATACATGGAAGACCGAGCAAGTCCGCCGCGAACACTAATTAAACCCACTGATGATTGATGAACGTCATCACTATTTAAATAAAAAGAGAATGACCCAACCTGATCGTCGTATTCACACACTTCGCCTACGTCTAGTCAGCTGGCGGCTGGCCTTGCACGAGGAATTGCTGCTGTCCCTTGCATGTGACAGTTCCTCTGAAGGTGACCATATTGTAAACACTGTGAAAGAAAATAGATATAAATCAGGGGCGGATCTAGGGGTCGTCAAATCAGTCGCGCGACTGAAGTAAAAATTGCCTACTTAAAAAAAATTGACTCCAGCTATCTATAGTGGCCAGTAGATCGAGTTACTAAAATTTTGAATCGTACCGGTAGTCCAGTTATACGTTTCATGCTGCGGCAGAGCTTCTGCAAAGTAATGTTAGTCAGTCACGAACAGCGGTCTTACGCATGAAAGTTGACGGATTCGGGGGTCAAATCCGGCTATCTGATTGGCTGACACGCTCATTTCCATGGTTACGGCCATTTGCGACGAATCTGTGGGGAGGCCTGACGGATTTGCAGATTCAGGGGCTCTGTATGAGCCTTCTGATTGAACCATTTAAAAAAATTCTGCACTATAATTGGCTTATATTTTCGACGGATTCGCAACGTGAGGTATTCGTCAAGACCGCATTAGTGTTTACCTCTGAGTGTTTACTATTTCGAACGTTTACTATTACGAGCGATTTCTACCAGCGTTATCTGGAAACATTTTCGACAATGTTCAGTTTGCGATTGCGGCAAACAATTTGGAATCTCTATACAACGTTTGTATACGGAGCTTGAAAAGAATATCGATGCCTCACGGACGAATTTTGTTGACAAGCTACTGAGCGGCGCCATCAACAACACAAGCAGAAGCCTCGCTAGAAATTTTGGCGCAGAGAGCTACTGCTAGAGAAAGACAAAGCTTGCACTGCAATAAGGTAGATAAATTTATGGTTTTATAGTGATGTATCTTTAGTTCATATTAAAGGTTTATAAACCGGAGTACCAAGCCATCGGTGTTGTTAATGATTGTCTGACATATGATATTTTAATATATTCGCTATGCTGTATTGCTGTATTAGCATAATTCTCGCATCAAGAAGCTAAAATATGTTACAATTTCAATGTCTACATTGTAAGCATTTGTTGATTCTCATGTTAGTGAAGTTTTATTTATATCACACATGTACGCGTTAATTAACGCGTATACGTGTATTGGTTTATCCATAGCCTATCGACATGGCTTGTTAGACCGCATTGGTCTGATGTAACATGATGATGTGAAATATTTAATTAGGTAGCTTGAAAAGCTCATTGACTGGTAGCCATTCTGATGTTACTAGTTTATTAATAGTATATTTTGTGTTCAATATATAGACCACAGTAAGACTTTATTAATAGTAAGGGTTTAGTTTATTAATATTTGACATAACATCTTTGACTTAGTTAATGAATATGTGGTTGTTTTTTGGAGCTCAGGCTACTGGCAATTACTTGTTATGTATAGTTCTGTGTTTTTGGTAACAGAACAGTATATTTCCTTAATGCATTTGCTGCCATATGATTTTAGAAGTTTTACAATGATACACTTATAAGCATATAGTACCAATATGACGACGATTCTTAATCCACAGGCAAACATGTTAAATTGCTGCTGAGTTTTAAAGTATTATCATCAATATATCTTTGTGCATTTGTAGTTGTTCTTACAGTGCCTGTGGATAAGAATCAAATGTTCGTTTGAGTTTATCAATTTAATCTAAATATGTTTTATAATTTGGTTAATTAGGATTTAGGTTAATAGGGGGGGGGGACCAAATAGCATATTATGTACGGAAAATTCTAAAATCCAGTGGCGGACTATCAACATAAAAATTATTTAGCGCCCACTCCCCCCGTCTGGAGTCGACCACGCCCAGTCGAGACCACGCCCAGCGCCGATAACGCCCCGTCCACCAAAAAATTTTGACTGAGGTACGAAAAATCCTAGATCCGCCCCTG